GCCTCCCGTTTGGCACGTGATGGGCCAAACGGGAGGCCCGTCACGTGCCGCACGTTGGGCCCGCGAAGGGTCCAACGGAAAAAAACCAAATTTTCACCAAAAAATCCCCTATAAATACCCCTTAATTCCACCATAAATCCTACACAACAATTCACTCTCATCTTCTCATCTCACTCTCATTCTATCTCTCAACTTCTCTCTTTGATTTTGATTCTAAGCTTTTTTCTCGTGTTCATTCATTTTCTAGCTCTTTCATTTACAAAGTTCAATCAAGTTCTATCAATTTCCAGAAAATGGCCTCACCAAATTTCCCTGATTTCACTGCTCTTCCTGAGCTTCGTGAGGAGACATTTTTTGAGGAAGAAATGATGCCTTCCAACCCCACCCCCACTGAACCAGAAAATGCTCCGGTGGATAATGCTTCAGTATACAACGAAGAAGCTGGAGAACGCAGCAGAGGAAAAAGACCGCGAACTTCTCCGGCATGGCAGCATTTCACCGAGGAGCCCCGACCAAATCCAAAAACAGGTGAGATGGAAATTCGTGCGGTATGTAAATATTGTAAAAAGCACTTTTCTAATAAAAATGGTGGGGGTACTGGTCATCTGGATAGACATTAGAAAATATGTCTACCGTTGCACCAAGGTGGGAGTGTGGACTCCCGCCAACAAACACTATCACTCACATCACATGGGTTACAAAATTTTACATACGATGCACAACGTGCTCGTGAGGTACTAGCTAAATTTTTAGCTAGTGCCGATTTGCCTCTTTCTTTTGCAGATGATGCATCCTTCGAAGAATTCATCCAGACAGCCTTTTGCCCACAATTTAAACGGGTAAGTAGAAACACAACTCGTTCTGATTGCATGAAAGTTTTTTATGCAATGAGACAATATCTTGTTGATAATTTTAGGACTTTTAATGCTACTGTGTCTTGCACTTTTGATCTGTGGGAAGGGTGTAATAAAACTGGATATTTATGTGTCACAGCGCACTACGTTGATGACGATTGGGTTTTACAAAAAAGAATAATTGGTTTTCGTTTATGTCCATATCCTCATAACGCAACAGCTATTTTCAGTACAATAATGAAAATTTTTGAGTTTTATGGGATAGAAGATAAAGTTTTAACAATTACTTTTGATAATGCGTCAGCTAATACAGCTGCAATTAATCTGTTTAAACGTAGTTTGAAACCGACATTTGGA